GAGAGAGAGAGAGAGAGGGGGTGCATCGGGAATCGCACGCCAAATCGATCTTCGGCCGCCTCGGAGAGACGGATGGCAACTGCACCAACCGCACACTCTCGGCCTTTCGCAGCTGCATCTTGCCTTCGATCTTCATCCAACGCCATCTGCTGCATCGCCCCAACTCGCCGCAGTTCTCCATCACACACACGCGCGCACGCACCTCGAACGCGATTGCCGCTGAATCCCCTACTCGCTCTTCCGCCTTCTTTGCACCGGACGCAAGCCCTTGCCCGATAAGCTATTAGCCCATCATGCCGCCCATGGACGCCAAGGCGCCGTCGCAGAAGCCGGCGGAGCCCATCCTGTTCTCGTTCGCAGATGCCGACGAGCTGTCGCGCAACCTGGCCGAATTTGTGATCAAGGCGCAGAACGACGCCATCGCACGTCGCAACAAGTTCACGCTCGCCACGTCCGGCGGCTCGCTGCCCAAGATGCTGGCCAAGTACCTGGTGAACCGCGACGACAATGCGTTGCGGTGGGACAAGTGGCAGATCTTCTTCTGCGACGAACGTCTGGTCCCGCTCGATCACGAGGATTCCAACTACCACCTCTGCCACCAGGAGTTCTTCTCCAAGGTGCCCGAGCTCAAGCGCGACCAGATCCACACCATCGACGAGAGCCTGCTCGACGATCCAGAAGAGCTGTCGGACGCATACGAGAAGCAGCTCGTCGCCGCATTTGCTGGAAAGGAGGCGGTGCGTAACCCCGTCTTCGACCTCATCCTGCTTGGCATGGGTCCCGACGGACACACGTGCTCGCTCTTCCCCGGCCACGAGCTGCTCAACGAGCAGGACCGCTGGGTGGCCCCGATTGAGGACAGCCCCAAACCGCCCGCCAAGCGCATCACCTTCACCTACCCCGTGCTCAACCATGCACACCGCCTCGCCTTCGTGCTCGCCGGCGAAGGCAAGCAGGAGATGCTCTCCAAGGTGCTCGACCAACCCCAACTCGGCCTCCCCGCAAGCAGAGTGCGTCCATCCCCACCGGGCGACATCTACTTTTTCACCGACAACGCCGCTGCACACACCACCGCCTACGAGCGCTCCGACTTTAAGCTCTGATTCCCTCCACTGTGGCTCCCCCCTGGTTTGTACCGACGCAAGCACACGATGCAATATGCTCTTTTGATCCTTGAAATCTTTCTGCTTTCTCTTCCGGATGCTGGTGGTGTGAATTAGCAGCATGTCGAGTACCAGGATTTGTCGGGTGGTTTGCCGCTTGCGATGCGGATGGTGCGGCGGATGAGTTCGCTCTGTCGGCGATCGCGTTCGTCGTCTCCGGCGGCTTCGTGTTCCGAGGTTTGAAGGGACTGCTCGTAGGCGTGTACGGCAGCTACGCGCGTGGCAATGTGCTGGAACATGCGCTCGATGTTGTGCCCCGTCCGTGCCGAGGTGTAGAAAAGCGTAAAGCCCTGCTCCACCTCGCTCGGCACTGCCACCGGCTCCACTGGCTCTACGGGCAGGGACAGCGTCGAAGGCGTGCGTGCCCGAGGCGTTCCCATGCCCTCTTGCACCTCTTCCTGCTCTTCGTGTTCTTCTAGCGTTGCGGCAGAGTCCTGTGGCTGGAAGAGATCATTGATGCTCTTGGGCGTGCGCAGGATCGGATTCGTCCCTCTGCCTGCATCCGCCTTGACCGTCGCTACAGACGCAGTGGACGACGAAGCCATTGACACTCTGTGCTTCAGCTTTGCATCCTTGCCATCGTGCCACTGTGCCTTGCTGTCCACACTTTGGCTGGTGCTGCTGGTCGTGTCGGTGCGCATGCTGGGCAGCCCGAGCGTGGTGCGAGGCGTGGGGCTCACGCTGAAAAACGTGCTGCTGCGCGGCGTGTGGTACACGCTGGGGGCGCCCAGGCTCATGGTGGAATCCACGCGCGGCCTCTCGCCCTTGCTGCTGCTGCGGACGCTGCGCGGTGGCGTCTGAACCGCTCCCCTGGGAAAGGCAAACTTGCGTGCGTCGCGATCGTCGTCCGAATCGCTCGGTTGAAACACCTCGATGCTCCGAATCGACTGGCGCTTCGTATGCCCCCTCGTCGCGCGCGACTGAGATGCCTTGGACCGCGACCGCATCCAGCTCGACAGAAAGCCACTGCCTCCATCCGTCCCATCTGCCCGCGACGTCGTGTCCGTCTTGGCAGACGGTGACGTGCTGAGCTGGGCGACGTTCGATACGGTCCCGAACGGCGTCGCATAGACCGTGTTGAGCGTACCGCCGTTCTGCATGTGCGGGGGCTCGTCGGCATCGCTGCTGTCCTCCTGCTCCGCTGCACGTGCCGCCGCCGCCGCGACCGACGAGAGCGACTTGCGCGACAGCCGGTAGTCCGAGCGCCGCTGCCGTACCTTGGCTGTGGGCGAAGCATGCCCATCGACGGTGCCGAAACTTTGCATAGAGATCGGCGTTACGCCCCCTGGGTCGCGACCGAGAGACGCGCCGGATGCTTGCTTCGTGGGCGTCTCTGGTGCCTGCGCCGTATTCGGGTCGGGTCTCGACAGCACCTCGGACGGGTTGGCTGGTTCCTTTGCTCCCGACGGCCGTGTTCCAGGCTGGCCTGCATCGATGCCCCAATCCGGTTGCTCTTCCGGCGCTGGCACCAGCGCATTCAACGTACGCCTCACCGCGTCTCTATCCAGTGGACGCGTTGCCTGGCCATCGACGAGATCGACCTTATTGGCGGCACATATCCAACAGAACCTCTTGCGCTCCGCCTCGCTCGCAGGCCCGGGTGCTTTGTCCATAAACGCCTCGTACCAAGACTTGACGCGCTGCATGGTCTCGTCCGGATCCTTGGTTGCATCCAATGCGATAATGACCGCATCTGCGCCCCTGTAGAAGGCGGAACCAAGGCTCTGGAATCGCTCCTGGCCTGCAGTGTCCCAGATTTGAAGTGTCGCCTTTTCGCCGTCCGGATTCGCCGCATCGATAGGGAGGGTCTTTGTGATAAAGTCGGCGCCGATTGTTGCACGGTACGACGGGAAGAACGAGTTGGTGAGAAAGCGGTTGCGCATCGATGTCTTGCCGCAGCCTCCGTCGCCGATAAGAACCACCTTGATGGCGCGTTTGGGCGCGATGGGATGCAGCGAGGTGCCGGACGACGAGACGGACGCGAGCGTGCGGATCGAGCCCATGGCTGCCACCGCCGAGGACTGCAGCGTGCTCACCGCATCGCCCGAGCGCAGCCTCTGCAGCGGCGGATTGCGGGACGACGAAGCGACCGCCTGCTCGCCTCCCGGCCTCTGCGTCGGTCGTGTGGTGGCCATGACGTACGATCTAGCAAGCGCGTAAGTTCAAGGCCGCAGATTGATAACAAGCATCCGCCCTCCTTGCCATGTCCCGCCCATGGGTCCAAGTCCACGAGATGCTGGTCCTGTCTATGGAACGTCGAAGTGAGCGGTGCGACGTGTGTAGGGTCGAGTGGATGGGAGTGGTGCCAAGCCAAGCTCATCGACTCGACACCCTGAAATGCACGGTCAAACTCGCGTGTGGACGGTGCGCGCTGCTGCAGTGCCTCCACCTCGAGGAAATGGAATCAACTGCACCTCGCGTCCAGCCTCCAACACGCCTCGTCAGCCCTGCCTAAATTGGATACGCGCCTCACGTGGTTCCCACACATCAAGTCATAGTGTCGATGGCCACTGGCTCTCATCTTCCCCATCGTCACGCCGGCAATGTCAAGTGATTGTTCCATTACCGTACCCTTGAGCAGAATAAGATGCGAGACGAAAAAGATGCCAAAAGAGAGAGCGTGTGTGTGTGTCTGTGAGAGGGTGACCGGAAAGATGCGAAAGGAAGGTGATGGGAGGCGGCCAACCAGTGCCGCTTATCCTTTTCAGTGGATAGCGAGTGTCGAGAAAGAGCAGAGGGGAAGTGATTGCGGGAGGAAGCTCGGCGGACTTGTGAAAGGGCAGGGTGGTGGATCTACTTGGCGACCTTTTCCTTGTCCTTTTTGCTCTTGGTGTCCTTTTCCGTGAAGCCCCACATCTTGGGACGCCGGCTCTTGTCGCCGCCCGTGACGACGCTGCACAAAAAGTCAAAGAAGCGCTGGCCGTACTCCTTGGGCGGCACCGAGCTGATCATGTGCCGGTTCTGCGTGAGGCCCTTCCAGATGGTCTCGCCGCGCTTGACCGAGGTGTAGGGAGTGAAGAGATCAATGACACCCAGGTAGTAGATCATGCTGCCCGGCTGGTTGTTCTCGTCCGTCGATCGGAAGCCGCCTTCGTCCTGGTAGAAGAGGAAGTGACGGCGCTCGCTCACGTCGCGGTCGGGCAGCTTGGACCCCTGCTGTGCGTTGAGCGCCTTGGGATCCGAGCGTCGAACCGCCTGTCGCAGCGCCGACGCGTCCTGCTCGCCCGCACCAGGCCGCTTGATCTGCGTCGGCTGACGCTTGAGCTCCTTGGTCTCGGGCTGGAAGACGCGCAGATTGTCCTGGCGCAGGTTGTCCTTGTTGCCACGACGGATGTCGTGCAGTCCAATGAGCAGCGAGTAGTCCATGATGTTGAGGCGCTGCAGCAGCGCCACGTCGCTCTGCAGCTGTGCCTCGAAGAGCGCCCGCTTCTCGGGTCCCAACTCGATCTCGCGCCCGCGCTTGAGCCAGTTGAGATCCTTGAGCACTGCGCCCGACTTTGCCGCCGCCTTCTCTTCCGGGTACTCGCGTCCGATCGACGAGCCCTTGAGATCGTACGTCTCGTGAATGTCGCGATGCGGTGGGAAGAGGTTGTTCATGATGACAAAGTGGATCTTGCGACCGTGCGGCAGCTTGACACGATGCAGTCCGTAGAAGCGGCTGAGCAGCGTATGCGGATTCGCCTTGACATGCTCGTGGTAGTCCTTGAGGATGCGCAGCAGGAACTTGTGCTCCTGGTGGCGGATCGTCTTGATGATGAAGCGGTAGTCGCGCGAAAAGTAGAAGAACGAACCGCTCTTGCCTGGCGATCCGAGCTCGCTGAGGATGTACTTGGACGTGAGCGAGAGCAGATAGTCGGCGGCGTCGAGGTGGAAGTGCTCGCGCAGCTCGCGGAATACCCAAGGTGCGTAGTCCTTGAATTTGAAGTCGTACTTGGCGGTGGGGGTAAGCTCTCGACCGATGATGTCAAAGGTGAACTTGTGCTTGGCTGTGAAGTCGGCGTCGCACAGCGGGCGCTTCATCTTGGCTTGACACCTCGACACACCGATGCGAATGCCGGTGAGCATGTTGTACATGAGCACGTAGTTGGCATGGCCCTCGCCGATCAGGTTGCCGACCAGCACCTTGGGCTCGGCATCATCGTCGCGCTCGCGCTCTCGATCGACGCGCTCCTTGTCCTTAGGATTGACATTGAGCCAGTCGCGACCGGTCTTGGAGCGCGTCAAGGCGCCGACGACCCCACCGGGGCTGGCGCTATCCTTGTCTACTGATGTGCCCTCGGCTGCCGCATCGCGCGCCTTCTGCTCCTTGTAGCGGCGATCCCTACGCAGTTGCTCTGCATGCATGGCTGCCTCCTCGTCGAAGGCTGCGTCGCCCGTGCGCAGGGCGTGTGCGGTGGCCTCGGCGAGGGTGGGCGAGTTGAGCGCATCCGCCTCCCACGCATTGCCAGCCGAGTGGTAGTTGGGGTCGCGGTCTCGACTGGATCGTCGGACCGACTGTGCAAGGCTGTTGCCAGATTGCGACCGCCTTCCTTGGAGTGACGAGCCGGTTGTGTTGCGACGAGAGATGTGCTGGCGCGGCGGGATGCCGTTGGGTGGTCCAGGTTGGTCCACACCCGAGTGACCGTTCGCGTAGAGCTGGGAAGCGCCTGCTTCGGCGGCTCTGGGTGCTGCATCGTGCTGGTAAGGCGAGGCATCGTGGGTGAGTCGAATGGCGGGAGCTGCTCCAGAGATGCCGGCACCGAGCGTAAGGTGAGATGCGGCGGATCCGTACGAAGCGTGACGTCGCTGAGTGAAGGAAGCGTCATCATCCTCTTCATCCGATGGTCCGCCGTGAGAGGAGGCGGTTCGGTAGGCGGTGCTAGCGGTGGAAGCATTGGACTCGTTGCGGCGCTGATTGCGTTTTGACATGACGTTGTACGCTGCATTGGCTGGCTGAGGCTGGGGATGCTGCTTCTGGCTGGCTGCAAACACCTCCTCTGCATCGAGCTCGGTGGGCTCGTCGACCAACGCGGAGGTGGCTTTGGGCTTGGGAGCAGAGGACGAGACGCCCAAGATGTTGGCCGAATCGGCGGTGTAGGCGCGGCGTGCAACGGGAGCCTTGGTCTGCAGGGGCTTGGAGGAGGCGGCGGCATCGTGCGGCTGAGCAGAGGTGGATGCGCCGTTTGTGGTGGGGTATGCGGGGAGGTAAGGGGATCCGTTGGTGACGGTGCTCATGAGGCCGTTGCGCGAGTCGTGTCCAGCGACGTAGTCTGCTTCCAGAGGCGGCGAGGGCGGGAGTTCGCTGAGGAAAGGATGGTGGCGGGTGGGTGCGGTGAAGCTGGACTGCGACTTGAGCGCTGCATCCTGGCTCACGACGGGACCGCCGACGGCTGTCGAGCGGATGGTTGCGTTTTCGTCGGCACGGCTGCTCTGCCGCAAGGGGCTTTGGGAGGGATCGTGGGTGTCCGGATGTGACCTGTCGGTGGAGGATGGCGCATCGACGACGGAGGGCTGCTGCGGGGTATGATTGCTGTGACCATGAGCACGTTTGCTTACGAGCTGGGGTAAGCGAAGGATGCGGTGGCCCGAGAGCGTGGTGGAGCTGTGGCCGTTGGTGCCGTTTGTCGAAGGGTCGTTGGCATTGCTGGGCGTGACGGAGCGGGAGACGACGGGCGAAGCGTAAGGGGCGGACCGGGAGATGGTGATGTCGTATACTTCGCCCGTGCTGTCGTTGACACGAATCTGCTGCTCCTCGCGCTCGAGCGCCAGCCGGATCGAGTTGAGCGTTTCTGCTTCAGAGGCGTGTATCAACATGGCCGATCATATCCTGTGTGTGGTGATGGGGTGTCGACGTTCGGATGCTGATATCAGTGTCGATCGAGGTGGTAAGTTGGCGACGAAGATTGAGATCACTGGTGGCTGTTGGAGGCGATGATGATGGTGGAGTTGCTGGATGGTGATCAGAGTGTGATGGAAGTGCCAAGCCCGTGACGAGACGGGTTGCTGGAGCGGCTGAGTGCAGGCTCCCTCTCTCACACACACGCAGGCGCACTGCCAAAGGGGGCCGGCGTCGGGCAAGCGAGGCAGAATAGCGCAGTCGGGAAGCGGGCATCAGAGCGCAGGCAGACTCGACCACACCCTCGGCCAAGCACGAAAATTCACCCAAAAAAAGCCCAGGCCAGCAGACCGCGGCCGGACTATAACTGAGAAATTCGAGCACAGCACACGGCGCCACGCTGCCTCTGCATATCGGCCCGCTCGCTGTTTCAGCTGAAACACGGGGTACAGCACAACGCAAAGCCCAACCACGGCCCAACTCGTCTGACACCTTCTCCTCGCCCTTTCCAATCCTCGCTCATTTGCAGCCTCAAACCGAAGAACAGATGTTCTAGAATCGGCTTCGCCCTCTTCCAACCTCAATCGTATACTGACAAAAGAGGCCACTTTATTCAGCCTTGCTTCCGCTCTCGCAACGACGCAGCACTCGATGGGTGTGTACAGCCACTTATTCATCTGATCGATCCGCAGGGCAAGGTTGGCATCATGCATGTTGCCGTATGAGCAGGGGTGGGCCTCGAGTGAGTTTTGGGTGACTTTGATCTTTTCTGTTCATGCGGCAGCGATGCGGGAATGTGGAGCAACACAGCCGCCGAGCACAAGGCAATCCCCCTCGCCGCCGCTGACTGCATCGGCAGCCCCCAACCCCGAAAACACAGAAAAAGCAAAATTTAAAGCTCGAGGGTCTCTGTCGTAGCTTCCGAAGGATCGGCCAGCCATTCCATCAGCTCGTGAGGGAGTCGGTGCTGCTGTCTAGAGCCAAAGCGCCGCCGATCTTGCGCTCGTGGATCTCTGAAGTTTGACAGCGGCATGGCCAAGAGGACGGCGGCACGGCGAGCGCTTGCAGGCTTGGCACCCATCGGCAAGTAAGGCCATGTTGTGGAGGTGGTGTTGCGTGTTGGCCTGGCTGCAGTTTGCCGAGCTCGCTATCGTTGCCCGTCTCGCCTGGCTTGGCATGCCGGCCCCTCCTTTTCACACACGGACGCTCTGGCTCCTGATCGGCAGCTGTCGAGTCGGGCACTTCGGCGTCCAGTCGACATGCTACCCCCTCTTTGGCCCGCGATCTTGTCCTGCGCACGCTCCCACGTCTTCGGAAGCGCTTCACAGTCGGTGCGGTCGGCACGGATGTCGGCATTGCCATCTTTCGATTACCTTACTGGCTGGGGCTACTCTTCGTCCAGATCATCAATGCCTTCATCCTCGTCTTCATCGATCTCTTCGTCGTCGTCGTCGCCGTCGCCATCTGCCGCAGCTTCGTCGTCGCTCAATGCATCGTCCGAAGCGTCGTCCTCGTCGTCGAGCGACAGCATGAGTGTGCGCGTCGCCTTGTTCTTCGTCCAATCGCGCCCCGATTCCAAGATGAGACCCTGTTGCATCCAGGCCCCACTTGCAAGTCAGTCAGCGTCCTCGGCACAACAAACCGGTCAGGTCCAACTTACACGTAGAATGCCTTTGACGAGCTCTTTCTTGGAGCGCGCCTCGTTGATCTCGCGCTGCATCTGCTGCACCCTCCTGACCGCCGCCATGTCCTGCGATGCATCCGAATCGTTCGCTGCCCCCGACCCAGCCGGGTTCAGCTGTCGAGTGCGGATCTCGGCCTTGATCGCCTTGATGCTTTCAAGAAGTCGCAGCGTTTTGAGACGTTGTTCTACAAAATATTGCACAAGTGGCCGGCAAAATCAATGTCGATGGAGCTGAGTCAGTACGTGGACGCAGACAACGCAAGGCGTGGACCAGCGCAGACCTACCTCGGATCTCCGCCTTGACCGCGATCCTCTCCTCCTTGATGGCGCGCGTCTCGTTGAACGTCTTGAGGAAGGCCAGCGCTTGGTCGTCTCTCTGGTTGAGAAGTTCGCGCGTCGTTGCGTAATGCTCCTCCTCCTGTTTGCTCGTCGACGGCGTAGGCGATGTGGTAGTGAGGACGCGCTGAATGGCGGCGCTCGACTCCAGCGCCCGCGTCGTCTCGACGCGCAGCTTGTCTCGCGCCTCGAGCTCCATCAGCCGCGCCCTCTTGTCGGCAATCTGCGCCTCGAGTGCAGACCTGCTCGTCGGCATCTTGGTCGGCCTGTCCGCGAGCTCATCCTGATATGCTGCCCAGAAGTCGAGCTCCCTCTGCTTCCGATGAAGCTTGTGCCTTCGCCCCTCCACCTCGTAGTAAATCGCTCGCTCCAGCGGCGAAAGTTGCAACGACGTCGAGTGCGACGGCTCGCCCGATGAGCCGGTGATGAGATTTCGAACTTCATCGCGCCTCAGAGCCAGCGAAGATGGGCCGGCCTGCGCAGCTGAGATCAGGCGTTGGTCCGCCGCCGCTTTCTGCTCGATATGGCGGTCGAAGGTGGCCAGCAATGAGTCGAGTGGTGACACCGCCATGGCGAGGGATTCTGCTTCCGTGCTAGTCGTCGGATAAGCCTGGAGAGAGGTATTGTGTCGCAAGAGCTTGCAAGTCGATGATGGCGGTGCAGAGATACTAGCTCGATCTCGGTGTCGAGTGGACGAAGCTGCGATGGCTGTTGGTTGGATCAACACTTTCCGTCGGCGCGGGCCATCTGGCCTGGAGCTGCAAAAGCAAGACCCTGCCTGCCTGCCTGGCTCTGCCATTTTCGACGCGTCTCGCTCAACGAGACGTGTCGACCTTCTCAGTAGCCCCTAGCCTTAACATCGGTCAACTTGCCCCTACGGTGCGGCTTCCGGCCGGCCCTCGTTCGAAGCTCGCCGACGTCTTGGCATCGGTGTCTGGTCCGAGGCCGACCCTGGCTGCCCAGCTCAAGCAAAGGTCTGCCTCGCAAGATGCTCACCGATGGTTCGATATCGCGCCATCCATGGCTCTCCATTGAAGCTTTGCCGTACGGCGATTTTCCAACCGTGGCTCTCGGGCCTGCCTCTGTGAGCATCGTCAGGGCTCATGAGCGCCGTTTTTCGCCGGTTGACCCTTGTCGGCTGTACTCCGACGTCTTTGGCTCCAGCCGGCGCCCACGTCAATGTCAACGCCAGCCTGCCCCGCGGACCGACACTCGAGGACGGCAGATGACGCAACCGCCTCGATAGGAAACCTCGAGTGGAGGTGAGCGGCCACTTCTTGCTCCGTTTGGCAATTCGCGGCTAGGCCGCTGCGATGTCATTGGCGCCAGTTCCTGCTTTCGGTGCACCCGATGCTGACCACTCAGGCTCCACTCCGGCCGCCGCAGCGCTGTCACGCAGCATGGTTTTAGGCGTGACCACCAAAGGGGGGAGGAGGGAACTCGACGCGAGACGCGACTGCGCGCTGCAACGACGCGGCGGCGGCGGTCGCATTCACTGGCGTCCAGTTCCGAATGCAGACAAGCCGCTGCGCTTCGGCCTTCAAAAAATGCGTCAGGCCGCGTTGGGCGTAAATGGGCTCGCTGCGCCTCGAGGATTGACCTCGGCTCTGCAGCGCTTTTTTGACATCCGACGTTGTCCTGCATGATTTCGGCGCCCTCGCCTCGCTCTCGCTTGGCACCGCTGCTAGCCTTTTGCGGTAGAGAGGGGCTGTCGCTCGGTCGGCTGGATCGCTGCTCGGCCCTTGGGGATCGGCGGCTTGGCCGAACGAACGACAAGCTTTGCTACCGTATCTGCCGGGAGATCCGAGCTTGCGGGTGATGCAAAGGTTGATAGCGCAACCGCATAGGCTCGGTCAAAGACCAGCCAATCGTTGTACGGAAATGTCCGAATGGAGGCAAAGCAGAGCGCAAGGTCTGAGATGCGATTGAGCAAGAAGGGCTTTGCCGCATCCACACAAGCTGCTTGCTGCGAAGGATCGTCAGTTGTCTCAGAGTGCAGCTTGCCGCCCACGCCGTAAGCTCCGGTGCAGGGATTCCGTGGCGAAGAGCCACCGAGAGCTGGCGGCCATGCATCCTTGCCAAGCCTCGGCGTCAAAGGTACCCGCTCCAGTCCGGCTCCCACATCTTCATGTCCGCAAGCTTCCCACGGCAGCTTTGCTTTTTTGGCGCTTCGAAAGACGAGGCCGATGATCAGGGCCCGTGGCTCAGGGCAGTGGCTGGTCCTGCATGGTGTGGCTTCGGCCCGGCCCGTGTTTTCGCAGAAGGTTGATCCCCAACTCGCTGCCTTCCGCCGTCCGGACGAGGCCGCATGCCAAATGCGCTCATTATAGGCTCGAGCGCAAAAGATTTGCCGCTGCTCGTTCGGACCGACGCCTGGAATCTTCTCGGCGAGTCTCAGCGGTCATTGCGTGGATGAGCGAGGTGGGCGTGTTGGGACCGTGCGGCGCCTCCGTGTAAAGAGTTTCGGGTCGGCCTTGACCGCGTTGGATGGATGGATGAGAAGCGCATGTCGCTTCGCTGCAGGTCAAGCGGAGCTTCAACCGAGCCGCTCCTTTGCTGCAGAAATGAACCCGTTGGCGCTCGCCGACTCGTCGAGAACGAGGCCCTGCCGATCTCGGGCCAGCTCCTCAACACTGTAGTAGCCGCCCTTCTTACGCCGAGAGGCAAGACATATATAGACGGCGCCCCCTGGGCGTACCGCAAAAAGGAAAGGCCATCCGCCAGACTCTTCGTCATCCCACCTCATCTTCTCACCTCCTCTGCAAAGCTCCATCCTCTTTGCTCTTCACAACCAATCATGGTCGCCATCATCCGCAGCATCCTTGCGCTCGGCACGCTGGTTGCCGCCGTCACCGCCGCGTCGGTCGCACCGCGCAGCTCCAAGATCACCTTCACCGTGTACAACAAGTGCAAGCACGAGTTTGCGCCCATCTTTTCGCCTCCGCTCCCGGGCAAGTCGTCGTGGGCCGTGATCCCGTCCGGCAAGTCGGCATCCTTCTCGTTCTACTCGGACACCTACCGCGGCAAGGTCTTTTCGCCCCTGCGCCAGGCCAACACCACCACGGGGCAGGGCGCTACGCAGGGCGAATTCGACCTCGCCACTGGCGACTACGACATCTCGGTCGCCGACGGCTTCAACGTGGGCATGTACCTCCAGCTTCTCGGCCGCCAGTACGACGGCTACTGCACCGCGGCCATCTGCAGCTCGGCCGACTGCAAGGACGCATACAAGGTCAGCAGCGGCCTCTTGTCATCCAAGAGGGTTGGTGCGCGTACCACCAAGCCCAACCACAGCTGCCCAGTTACATTCACCACTTGGAACGTCCAGTTCTGCTGAGCTGGCGGCACCATCTCCCCACTTGCACGGTCAAGTTTGCTCCATCTGCGTAGATAGTTGAGCCCATATGCATTCGCGCTCAATCATATAGTTCACCGCTTGTCTTCACTATTGGTTTGCTTGATGGTGAGCTTGTCAGGAAGCGTTGTGCGAGTCGGCGAATTGCTCTTCCTCGACGTTCCAGCCGAGCGTAGACTTGTCAGCGCCGAGCATGTCGAGCATGGTGCCGATGTTCCATTTGCTCTCCATCCCAGAGCCACGCTCGGGCAACGCACCGGACGCTGACGACGCTGCTGGTGCTGACCATGTGCGATCACTTTCACCAAGCGGCGAAGCATGCTGCCTTGTTCCTGTGCGGGCTCCAATTGCGGACTGAGACCGGCGCAAGAGCTCCGAGAGGTCGGGCAGGGAGATCTCCGAGTCGGCACCTTGGCTGTCGATACCTTGAGCCGAGCCCGACTCGTCCGCCAAAGTTCGCAGCGCAGCTGCTTGCTCTTCTGCGCCAGGGGAGCCGATGCGGTTCCTACGCAGGAGCAGAAGATTGGAAGGCTCGGGAGAATCTCTGGCTTTGCGCTTGAGAGCGTTCGGGGAAGGCGGCGGCGACGGCTCGAGCGCGTGATCCTCGCGGGTCGAAGCGCCTGCGAGACTGGACCAGTCTCCGCCGTCGGCACCCGTGATCTTCCACAGATCTTGCGCTGCCAGCTGCCCTGCTTCGCGCCACCGTGCAATCTCCTTGGGCAGCGTCGAGAGCAAGTCTTCGCGAAGGCACTTGTTGGCCTGTTGCAAGAGCAGTAGTCTGGCTTCGAGCGCCTGACGTTGCTTCCTGATTGCCACGGAGGATGATGCTATCGATCTTGACGACTCTTGAGACTGATTACAAGGCAGCATTGTCTTCGATGTACTTGCTGTCGGCGCCGGACTGGAAGGCTCTGTTGGATTGTCTTTCTTGACCGGAGAGCGAAATGGTCGGCTCAGCCTGGACCGCGCAGGTTGAGGCGCCCGTTTGCGGGAGGAAGATGATCGAGCATCCGACATGCTTTGCGAGGTTTGCGAGCTGTCGCTCGTTAACTGAGACCGAGGAGTGCAGGATGCGGAAGATGGCAGGGACGACGAGGATGCCGGATCCATCTTGACCGTCACAGCTGCACCACTGTGACCTCGGAGTTGGGAAGCGGTCGTCGTCCACGATTCAAGTCGTGTGGCTGAGTCTTCGAAGAGTTGGCGCAATGAAGGCTGAAGTGGTGGAAGAGAGCAGAGTGTGATGCTCTCACCTCATCTCGTGCGGATGTTGCGATTGCAAGCAGCAGGCCTGTCGCCTCCTCATCTCTGCCCACTGAAGTCAAAGCTTCGGACGGCTCTTGGCTGGCAGATCGGCTGCGACTTCGTCCTTCGGAAGGAGACCCGAACGGCGAGGCAAAGCTTTGGCTCCTTGCTCCGGCGTCAGAGCCAGCCGAGAAGCTTCTCCTCGCCCAGGTTTCGGCGACGGCTCCTCCGCAGTCGGCAGAGCCGAACGACTTTCGAACACGAGTCACGCCCGATGGACTGTCACTGGAAGCGGCTCTGAATCAGCTTCCCTCTTTCGCAAAGAGTCAGTGAGTAATGGCTTGGCCGGTTCTGTTCTTGGCCTATGCTGGTCGGAAGGAAGACAGCACGTCGCCCTGAGCTTCTTGCTGCATCGAGTTGTGGTCCAACGTGGGAAAGAATCAATCTGCTGCCGCAACAGCCAAAGTGGAGGTCGCAATGAATTTTCTACAGCCTGCTGCTGCCCGCCTGCCCGCCCGAGCCACGTTCAGAAAGAGCAAAAGACGGGTCGAGAGCGTCAACTCTGCGACCCTGCAGATCCTTCTTGGCTGGACGCGGGCGCTTCAAAGCCAGTTCAGCCGCGCGATTTCGAGCTTTCTGCCCAGGGTAACCACGGATGCGGAGCGCGAATCCTCTCGAGGCTGCAAAGTGGATGTGCAGCCTGGCGCGTTTGTTGACCTTGAGCGGCTCACCTCGACCAACACCCGTCAACCCAAGCGAGTGCACTCGTTACTTTCGGCTCCATCTCCATCTGCCAGCTTCTTGCGCCCACACACAAGCCGCATCGCCCCTGCATACATTCATACTTTCGACGGCTTCGCAGCACCGCTCCGTCCTGCCTCCTTGTTGATCGCATCCCAGCTTCCAACAGCATTCAGCGGTGTGCGTCCTGACCCCGTCTCGCATACTCTCGGCCACTCACCAGGCGCTTCGACATGAGCTCGGAACATCCGGTCGCTGCGACCGGTGCAGAGGCATCGCCATGGGCACCAACATCGGAGCCCGTCGCCGGCGCCCAAAGCGCACAAATCGAGGCCGATTCAACCGAGGCGGTTGGCCAAGACGACCACAACACCGAGCAGACAGGAGCATCAGAAATTTCGCAGCAAGTGAAAGAGCCGCCGACATCACCTTCTACTACGCTGCAAGCCACTACCGCCGAGCCGACAGAGGTCAATGCTCCCCCAGCTGCCGTTGAAGAGGGCGCGAAGGATGTCGAGCAGCCGGCAGCCAGCGATGAGGTCCCATTGAGCCCTGCATCGCCTTCGCGGATACCGCCATCCATGTCGATTCCCGAGATCAAAGCTGCTCTCGCTTCGGAGCGCGACCAAGCCAAGGCGGCTGCAGCTGCTGCATCGGGCGGAACAGCATCGACTGCAGAGTCATCAGCCTCTACCGGTGACAATGTCATTCTTGGCATCGCCGTTGTCGACTTTAACCATCTCGTCGGGCCGCAGATTGAATACACATACCCAAAGCAGCTGCAAGAGGACGAGGACCTCGTTCGATCGCTGCCATTCTTGGCGCTCCCCGATGGCAGCCATCTTTCTGACGAAGACTTCTGCTACTTCCACCTGCACTGCCCCAAGCTCTCCGACTCGACCATCTTTGGCATCTCTTGCAATCGCCAGATCGCCGCAGATGCCCTGCTGCGCAAAGGGGCCGAGGTTACCCGAAGCACGGTTCAGAAGGCCATCGTCGTCCTCGCAAAGGAACCCATCTTTGGGCCGATTCGCGAGAAGCTCGGAATCGTCACTCGCGCCTTCTTCGCTCAGGGCGACCTGGCAGACGTCGACATCCTCATCGATTTCCACTCGACCCTCGAGATCGGCCTGCAGAGCGGCGGTATGTCGGAGGATCGCGAGACGGTCATGTACATGGGCACGTCGCTCCGAGAGCTCGTACACAAGTGGCGCTTCAAAACGCTCATGCTCGTCAAGCTGCTCCTGCTCCAACGGCGCATCATGTTATTTGGCTATCCGGTCGAGCAGCTCTGCAACTACCAATATTCGCTCGTGTCTCTCATACCCGGTCTGCTGCTCAGCCTGCAGGATGCGGGCGATCCCAAGTTACACACGCGCTCCAGCCGCGTCGAGGCAGCAGACAGCCTGCGCTCGTCGGACCGCAAGAGCCTGCTCAAGTTCCTCGGCATGCCGCTCGACATCTTTGGCGAGGACGCCTTCTTCCAGCCCTACTGTCCGCTGCAGCAGATTGACCTGCTCAAGTCTCGCACCTGGCTGGTCGGCACCAGCAACAGCATCTTCAAGCAGCAGCGCGACTGCAAGATCGACGTCATCGTCGACCTCGAAAATGCCCACCTCGACTTCCAGGACCCCAAATTGCACCAGGCGGTCAATCTGACGCCCGAAGACCGCAAGTGGATGGACGAAGTCATCTCGTCAGTCGTCGACACGTGGAATCCCGCAGACCCCACACGACCAACATCGATGGGCTTCCATGGCAGCGACGACTATCTGCGCATCCGCTTTGAGGATTACATTTGCGCGATGCTCTCCTCGACCAAGTACGCCGACTTTCTCGCCAAGAGCGACGCGGAGCAGGTGGCCATCCAGGCGCCGGACGCTTCGACGACCAGCAGCTTTGGCGCCGAATTCCTCGCTGCCCTCCGGGGCACCGAGGCGTTTGCTCTGTGGAGCTCGGTGACCGATTCGATGCTGTTTGACATTGTCGACCATAAGCATCCATGCGAGGGCAAGACGTCGGCGATCGAGGATGTAGGTCTGAGGCTCTCGGCGGGACTTCACGACCTGCGGCTCGAGGAGAATCTGGCGCCCACGCGAGAGGCCATCGGCAGCGCACTGCAAGCTGGCAGCGCCAACATCTACCGCCTGGCTACCAACTTTCGTCAAGACATCGCCAAGTTCCGTGCCAACCACGCTGCTGCCAGTCAGAACAGCGGTGGTGAAGGCGCTGGCACTGGCACAGGCGGGCTTGGCGCCATCACGTCCGGCTTTGGGTTCTTTGCTTCGGGAGACAAAGCTGCGTCCAGTGGTCAGGTGGCTTCGACGAGCACGGGAGCTGCACGAGCGTCAGGGTCCATCACGGGCGAGGCGATTGATGCGGACGGTCAACATACCACTCGGTCCGGTCGAACTGCGCCTGTAGAGGGACAGGGTGCCGGCGCCGGATTCAACGCCAACGAGGCACTCAACGCAGCAGGTCAGGCAGCAGCACAGGCAGGCACCCAGGTGCGCGTGGCGCTGGGCAACTTTGGCTCGTTCCTGTCGGCGCGTCAAAAATCGTGGGCTGCGAGCCGTGCCAACAGCAGCACGCCTTCATCGGCGAACAACTCGCATCCCCAGCCATAGCTGAGGTCTCCGGCCACTATAGACGCGCAATCAAGTAATCCCACATCGCCGAAAATGAGCTCTGGCTGCTCGCGGGTATTCCAGCCACGCCACTCGTAAGACACGCTAAAGCGGATGAGATATGCAGCAAAGCAGAAAGCATGTTGGGGAAGAAAAGCGAAGCCAGATATAACTACAGAACCAGAACCGAAAAGGAAAGGAAAGATGAGGGAAGCGAGGGACACGACGAGGGCACGAATGGGATCGAGCGGAGCGTCTATGCCTTGTGGCGCTGGTACTGGGCGACGAGCATGGCGTGGTCACGCTCGTATGGCTCGAGCGTAAGCTGCTCGCGGGGCTTGAACTTCATGCCTTTCAACTTGTTGACCT